CCTACCTACCTACCTACCTACCTACCTACCTACCTACCTACCTACCTACCTACCTACCTACCTACCTACCTACCTACCTACCTACCTACCTACCTACCTACCTACCTACCTACCTACCTACCTACCTACCTACCTACCTACCTACCTACCTACCTACCTACCTACCTACCTACCTACCTACCTACCTACCTACCTACCTACCTACCTACCTACCTACCTACCTACCTACATACATACATACATACATACATACATACATACATACATACATACATACATACATACATACATACATACATACATACATACATACATACATACATACATACATACATACATACATACATACATACATACATACATACATACATACATACATACATACATACATACATACATACATACATACATACATACATACATACATACATACATACATACATACATACATACATACATACATACATACATACATACATACATACATACATACATACATACATACATACATACATACATACATACATACATACATACATACATACATACATACATACATACATACATACATACATACATACATACATACATACATACATACATACATACATACATACATACATACATACATACATACATACATACATACATACATACATACATACATACATACATACATACATACATACATACATACATACATACATACATACATACATACATACATACATACATACATACATACATACACATACATACATACATACATACATACATACATACATACATACATACATACATACATACATACATACATACATACATACATACATACATACATACATACATACATACATACATACATACATACATACATACATACATACATACATACATACATACATACATACATACATACATACATACATACATACATACATACATACATACATACATACATACATACATACATACATACATACATACATACATACATACGTACGTACATACATACATACATACATACATACATACATACATACATACATACATACATACATACATACATACATACATACATACATACATAGGGCATATACAGACACACAAATAACACAAAGACACACACACACACACACACACACACACACACACACATACACACCGACAAACTATACACAGAAACACACATAGACACATACAGACACAATGGCAAACGCAGACACACCCACAGACACAAACGAACACACACAGTCATACAAACAGAGACAGACACTTAGTAAATATCGTGGGAAGTAAAGGCAGCCGGTGTGATGTTTACTTAATAACACACTAAGTTCTAATCGGTCTATAAACTATCTATGTCTAGCGTCAGTAGCCTTAAAATGGTCTTCTATTGAAAAATTTTGAAAAAAAGAAAAAAAAAAAGAAACAGGGCTAATGTTGTTTTCTTCGTCTTCTTACGTTCACCGGCTGTAAACTTTAAAACAGTAGCTTTATAAAACATAAACATTTGCTTTAAAACGATTTAGTGTTTCCTTTGAAGTCGAAGTGCATCTGCCTGAGAGACGAGGAACCAACTTTCAGCATATAAATAAGCGATACACATAAAACGGATCTGCACGCAAAACTTAAGTTCTGGAACAAGACTGAAATCCAGAAGTGGACGAACAACCCCAACATTTTGCCGGGGATAATAACCGGTGAACGCGAAGAAGAAGAAGAAGAATTTATATGATGCCCTAATAAAAGCTCACCTATACTTGTCCATGTCCTCTTGCTATTATTATTCTGATTCCGTGATGTTTGCAGAGCGCCCTACACAAGTACGATCATTTTCTTCGCCACTATTGCCTTTATTTACCACTTTTGCCGCGTTATAAGGAGCCTGAGGATTTAGGACCTTATAGTCTGGTCTGGTCTGGTAGTCTTAGTTTCAGCTTCATGGCAAACGGATCATCCCATCTTTGCTCCGCTCCTGTGCCAGTGAAAAACACACAGAATGTTTATCACAGTCCCTTGCGGAAAGATTGACAGACTGCTGTCTCCGCATATCTAGTATACACACGCATTAAAAGCGTATACGGCAGCCATATGAAGTGCTAACATAAACAGTCCGACATTAGAAATGCATTTCATTATTGATGGTAGCAAAAGGCACCAACAGATCAGCAGTTGCCCACGCGATCAATTTTAATCACATAATGGCACCACGAATATTGCGACAACAGGCATCGCGCCATTTTCTGAGTCTACAGTTCACAACACCACGTTGGTCACAGTAAAAAAAACACCTCAAAATAAAATCCACAGCTCACAGTGTCACGCCATGCATTCAACTCAGAATAAGATCGCATAGCTATTGCTGTCACCGCGGACTGTTGCAGGTTAGGATTTTATACCCCCCCCCCCCCCACCCTTTCTCCCTCCCCATCTACCCCCGACAGAACAAAATATGGAAACTTACAGAGGATTTAAACCTAGGTTTTCTGCAAGAGAGCCCCGTGTTCTTTACCGGTCCGCCCTCCATTTCTCAAAGTAACTACTACCAGATGTTAAGTTCCTTAATTCTGCATTGTTTGGGAACAGAAAGTTGGGAAATGGCTAGAGATCAACACAATCTATCTCCTGCGTTCACGACCACAAGTCTAACACGCCCAACTTATCTTATTTATGTACTAGAAGCGTTCACAAAAATAAACGACTGTCTTGAAAACCGTGTTCCTATTTAAGCTTCCAACATTTATACTGTAGTGACATATCATCTTTTTGAGAAAGCTGACTTTTAAGGCATCCACTTGACTTTAACAGATGGTTTTAAGAATTTATTTCACCGTTGAATCTGTTCCGAAGTCTATTAAATCTTCCCCTTCGCAGGAAACCTCAAGTTCAAAGCCAATTTATGGGATTCCTTCGTGTAAAATGTCTCTTCTGATAATAGCTCTATCATTTTTATTCTATTTGAAGGAGACCCAGAGAAATCTGCGGCAATGTGTTCTTACTCGTTGACGAGAGTCCCACTCGTGAGGGAGTGAGTGAAAGGTATGGCCCGGAGATTACTAAGGACCCTTAACCAAGGTCTGAGACTTTTGTTTTTGGTATATGGTGCTGACTCAGTCATTTTGTATATTAATCTTCCCCGTATGGGTTCCGGAGCCCCATTTTCGGGGGAAACAGACTAGGCCCGCTGCATCCCTAAAAAGGATATTGTAAAAGTCGACTAACTAAGGGTGTTTCATTCGACGTCGGAGCGCATCTCTCAGAGGCGAGGAACGTACAGTCTGCTCACAAATAAGCCACATCTGTCAAACAGATGTTCAAGTAAAACTTTTGATACAAGACTAAGGTCTAAAAATGGACGATCAAATAGATCTTTCCATCAGAGTTCATAGCTGAAGAAAGCGAAGAAGAGAGGAGAACCGAGCGTGCCCTGGCTCGAAAACCGATCGTCTGTAAACCTGTGACGCCTAGCAACACACAATTTTTGTCTCTACTGGTCGTAACATTCACACACCTATTACTCCCCGACGCTGCTCTCTGCTGGGGGTGAGCAAGGGAACGTAGAAATGATCGCATGTCTCTTCTTATCTGGCATTTTTGTTTCAAGTGGGTAGTACTTTCCAGCTTATCTCTTTGGGGGAATACGACTACATAACCGATACTCCAGCTTGCAAGTATCTGCTTGTCATGTTGTAACTTTTCCTCCGAAGAGCTTGGCGTGCGCGGAGCCGGGGATATCAGTGGCACTTTTGATATAATAAGACTGATACAATGCTTTATAGCTCGACCTTTTCAGACGAACGGTCTGAGCAGGGAAATATCTCTTCCTGTTGTCAGTGAAAGGTTCCAACTGGTGGTGCTGCTGTCAAGATTTTGTGTGGGTGCTACACAAGAGGAAAGAGCCGCGGTAGAGCTGTCGCTAGATGTTTGCCTGCTGTTCAGAAGGTCTTTGGTCTAAATCTAAAGGAGTTTTACCCAATTAACAAACCAGAGATCGACCATAATACTTTACAGTTCCACTTTTTCTGGTGAATGTTTTAGGAAGGGGAATATGGTTTCCCGTTATCGGGGAAATGTTCTAACTGCTGGTGCTACTGTAACTGTGTTATGGGTGATATTCAAGAGAAGAGGCTAAGACAGAACAGTAGTTAGATGCTTATCTGTTATCCCGAACTTCTGGGGTTTACATTCGTGTCAAGCCAGAGTATAATAGACTTTTATCACGATCCAGCCGTATATGAACAAGCCAGTGGCACAATACATATTTTCCCCTTGACGTCTCTTCGTCTTCCAGCTGCAAACTCTGGCTGTTGCGCACTTGTGGACTTAAGTTCTGTTCCAGAACTTGAAAAAATGAGTGAAATTATTTTTTCTAAAAATAAAAAATAAAAATAGCAAGCACCTTGTGGTAAGACCTGCTCTGGTGGTTCTCAGTACAGTAATACAATAGAACAAACAGAGCAGACATATACAGGTGAGCAGTCAGACAATAGAACAAACAATAGAACAAATAGATAGATAAATAGATAGATAGATAGTTGAAAAATTAAACATTTCTAACGAAATATTCAAACACTTAGACAACAGAACAGTTAGACAGTTTAACAAACATTTACAGTTAAACAGTTGTACAATTGTTTTTAAAACAATCTACACCTTAAGACATTAGCTGCGGGAGACGGAGCATCTATGGGTATGCACGGTGTGCTATGATGTCAATTCTTAAATCTGTAACCAGTAAATCAGAACTTGAAATTTGCAATTCACATCCCGTTTACAGATTTGGCTTATTTGCAAGCAGAGTGTGGTTTCATTGCTTCTCATGTAGATGCCCTCGGAATTCAAGGAAACCTCTCTTATCAATCGACTGTTACGACATGCTTGTTAGGGGGCTTTGAGTGTATTCTTTTCCTCCAAAATATGCAGCCATCGAACTGTCCCGCATCTTTTCTTCCTGTCTCCTTCTGCCTCTCTTCATCATTAACCTTTCCACAGTCATTATGTACTTCACTGAAGCTAAGCTTCTGAGAGTGTCTCCATTGATGTGAATGTCGACGAAGATGAACCATACAAGAAGAAGTACAACCCATTTGACTTGCATGTAGACTGGAGACCGTCAAAGAATTAGGAAACAACCCTTTAGAAATGCCTGCCAAAATCTGATGTACTGGGCTTTTGATTTATCGAAACAAGGAAACCTTCCAACGTAACTCGCTTCATAAAAATATTTATCCCGTGTAGATTCCGGGGCCCTATTATAGAAAAAAAAAAAAAACAAGAATATAATCACTGCCTACCCAAAAGCATGTCGTAAGAGTCGACTAGCTGGGAGCTTACTTCAAAGTCAGAGTGCATCTGCCTGAGAGGCAAGGAACTAACAGTCTGCATAGAATTTAATCAGATCTGTCACACCGGCGCACACGCAACACTCAGGTTCTGAAACAGAACTGCAGTCCATCCGTGGTCGAAAAAAACCACAACTTTCCGCCCGGGTTTACAGATGGAACAACAATATCTAAGCTCTGAAACATGAACATAGGACCTTTTCATACCATTATTTTTTTCTTCATCTGTATTGGAGTAGGGCGTTTCTTGTATGATCTACACACAGGAGACTGTCCCTAGTCTACCTGCAAGGCAAAAGGGCTGTACCTCTTCTTGTATGGCTCTTCTCGTGTGTGTGTGTGTGAGTGTTTGTGTGTGTGAGTGTTTGTGTGTGTGTATGTATATATATATATATGGTGGCGTCTGTGGCTTAGGTGATACGATTCTGACTCATAATTCCAAAGTACCGCGATCGAAAACCACTGCTGGTTGCGTGGATTTTTATCCTGGTATAGGGCGTCGCAAGTCGACCCAGCCTTAAATGGGTACCAGGATGTGTGTCCTGGGGAAGTAAAGAAGGCCAGCGTAATGCTAACCATATTACTCACCTAGTGCCGATTGGTCTGTAAATATATGGGTGGGAGGTTTGGGGTGTCAGTTATTGGTAGTACCTCTGGTTGGGGAGCCTGTAATGTCCTTTTTTAGGACAGCTGGATAACCTTTGGTCCAAAACTGACACTCAGCTCTCACCTGTGGCTCCACGCAGCTGTCAGCATGCGACAGCGGCCACCCCTCTGGGCAACGGCTTTAACAGGCCGGCAAAACCAGGTGAGGGTAGCCGATGCTCCTTTCCATCGTTGAGATAGGATCTGCCTAGCCAAGCATTCAAAGACTACTGTCGGCAGAATGCGCCGAGGAAACAAACCATATTTGATTCAACGGGCAAGACGGCGACACTAGCAAAGCGCTGTGGAGCGCAAAGAGTATGGCGAGGCACGTAGAACGCCCTGGTCATCCACTGCACCTAGACATATCTTCAGTCGTCCTGACTCTGTCTTGCCACTGGACCCAGATATGACTTAGGCGAGAGAGAGAGAGAGAGAGAGAGAGAGAGAGAGTGAGGTCGACGACACTGCGCAACTCTTCCTCACTCTAATCCACGTCACCGCGCAGGTCAGTCTTTCATCATCTACTTGATGAGAAAGAGTGGTCATCATCATCTTGATGGACAACACACAAGTATATGGGTGCTCTTCCAATATGCCCGATGCACCTACACGTTTGAAAAGGGATCTTTACTTACTTATATATATATAAGTATATATGACACCAATAGATCTGTTGAGTAATTGTGATTAGGGTGCAAGTGGTCCAAGATCTGACAAGGCAGCTTAAGTGTGGGTTGGTTTAGACTCACCACGACATTGGAGCTCTTGTAGGTTTGGAGTAGAGATAGGTTCGATGAGTAGATTTTTATATTATGCTTGATATTATCTCTTCCCTTCCTCTAATACAACATCCTCAATAGGCTTTGCTTCTAGTACATACATATATACACACTCTCAAACAGAGCACTTTTTTCTTAATGTATTTGGTATTTGCAGTCCATTTGACGCATTTCAGTTTCCATGTTCGTTTCAATAGCTGTTCGTTTAGATATTATGTTCGACTGAAGAGGGATCAAATCGAAATATCAGACTGCGATTATATTAATATACATTGCATGACAAAAAAACTTAAAGTTTATTGTACTAATTAGTTCAGATGTGAGGACTTAGGTTTCTGGATTTGATTTTTACAGGCACCACACACACACACACACACACACACATATATATATATATATATATATATATATATATATATATATACGACTCACTGTGGTCCACCCTCGGCCGCCTTTCTGCAAGTGTATATATATATATATATATATATATATATATATATATATATATATATATATATAGAGAGAGAGAGAGAGAGAGAGAGAGATGAGGCAAAGGGTATATTAGAGAGACAATGAGAGACAGAGAAAGCTGGTGAAAGGAGATAGGTAGCGAAAGAGATAGAGGGAGAATTGTATAAATAAAGAGAAGAAAAGCGTGAGAGAGACAGTTAAAGTAAAGAGAGCGCGTGATTTAGAGCGAGTGTGACAGAGACAATGAGAGAGATGGGAGAGAGAGAGATTAAGTAGATGTTAGAGACGGAAGAGAGAGAGAGAGAGAGAGAGAGAGAGAGAGAGAGAGAGAGAGAGAGAGAGAGGCAACTGTACTTCCTCCAGGTAATGTGTTTGTGATTGGCAGTCAGACATTTCGGACATGACAGTAAGACCGATGACCAGCTTTGATGCTACGAATCTAAACATGAAAATCCCACAAACTATACAAGCCAACTGTTGTGTGCTAAAGTGTCGTAGCTCGTCCGGAAAGACAGCAAACGACCAAGGGTCCTGGATATGATTAACACACCAAACAGTTGTACCCAACCTGCGCACAAACTGTCAGGAAAACTCAACGACATTTTGCATCCATATATGCACATTTATTTTCAGAAGTACGATCGGGTATACACAACCCGCACACAGAAAAATGCTAGCGAAGCAATCATACACATCACCGGCTAATCATGAAATGAATTTCCAACTCATCGCTTACGCAAACTGGTATAAAGGCGCTCTATCGAAAGACCTACACTAGATGTCGCTATACGCTGCAGACTTTAGTCGTTGTCAAGAACCTTGAGTGTTGCATGCACATTTCATAGATCTGGCTTGCTTGTATGCAGAATCTTGGTTCCTTGCCTCGCAGACAGATGTACTCCGACTTCGAAGGATGCCCTCCAATTAATCGACTCCTTCTACATGCTTGTTGAGGAGACAGTCGGTCTATTCTTGTCTTCCTTATAATGGGACCTCGGAGCCTACTCGGAGATGATGACGATAACGAGAAGGGAGAAGAAAAAGAAGGGGGGGGGGGGGGGGTTGTAGGGAGATTAGGAAATAAATTTATGGTTAAGACAAAATGTAATTTCTAGCTCAAAAGCAAAAACAGGAAAGTAAAGAAAAGACAGTCTTCTGTGCAGGTGAAATGTGAAATATCGATCAAACCCGCGGGCAAAGGATATGTGCATAAAGAGCTACACAACAAAATCAACAACACGTTACTAAATAGGCAATGCCTAGTCAGACCACGTGCACGAACTCCAAGTTATATCTTGAATCAAGCAATTAAATTATAATCATCACATTGAACTTTTGTTGATTTTCCTGAACACAAAACTAAAGTTGCTTCACAGATAACATTACATTAACAACCATCAACGTGCTCGACCAGACCATGTGCTACTCAGTACAAAGAAATATGACAAGGAACGCGTACGCTCAGAAAATAACATCAATGATGGCAAAAACAAAACATGTGCGTTTAAGCTTCAACATACTGCCAGATCAGTAAATCGTCTCCAACGACCTGCAATTAAACTATCTCTTTGCGAGGATACACAATATAAATCTAGGTCTACCACACAATCGAACTACTGAAGAAAAATTCAGATCTAACTATGATGGAAATTTATATCTTACCCCACATAACTACTAAACTGTACTAGAACCCAGAAATAATCGCCAGCCCATCCCTCGACCCAGTTTCCTATTTCCAAGGCGACCGGTCAGTCCGGAGGGCGGAAAGCTAAGAGGCCACGTTTCCTGCCACCACCACCCCCCCCCCCCCCCCCCCCACCGCTTTTTTTAATGCTCACGACTTGACACATTTTTAGTTCGTTTCATCCAAATTAAAATTATTCATCAGGCTTTGGCCACCCGGCTACATAAGGATTAAATAATATAGTTTGTCAATATCAGAAACTTGCACCATTATTCTATCTCATGTAGTCGCATTCTGTGAGAAAATAAAACAGCAGCAAGCTAACAACATATTTCTGACTACTTTTTGTGTCAAGGACTCCCCTGTGTCCAATTTTAATGTGTAGTACGAGGCGGAACTAGGCCAAATGCAGACTACTGTCATCTCTATTGGAACCATTTCTGTTCGAGAGGAAGCAATAGTGTAGGATGGACTACAGCCTCCTGCAGAAAGACGGCCGAGGGTGGACCACCGTGAGTCATATATGCCTGGAGCGAATTATCAGTGAAAATACAACGAAATCCAGTTTCCATTTGTGGGATTCTCGAATAGGGTTACAACATTAGGGGCGCGCATTGAAGACTGAAACTTGACAATAGGCATTGGGGATAGCTGTTAGTTATACTAGTTTACCGCAAATACACGCTAGAGCAGTGGTTTTCAACCTGGAAGCGAAAGGGGGGGGGGGAGGGTGGTGGTGGAGGGGGTGCCACACCCTTTGGGTGTGGGTGGGGGCACAAGGGAGTTCCAAAAAAGGGGAGGGGTTGGGGGGGGGTGGAGAGATGTCAAGCAATTCGGAAATTGAGTTCATTTGTACTTGTAATAATCTGTTATTCTTAAAAAAAATTCAGTTTAACTATACGAAGCATTATTTTAAACGATTTGTAAAAGGAAAAGCCAAAAATGTTTCGGTTTTCATGAGCGAGTTTGTATTGCAGATATAAAGTAAGTAATTAAAGATCCCTTAGACGCATCGGGCAAATGGGAAGAGAGTCCCATATTTTTACAGATCAATCGGCACTGGGTGGGTAATGAGGTCAGCATTACGCCAGTCGTCTTTACTTCCCCAGGACAGACATCCTGGTACCCATTTTAGGCTGGGTCGATCTACGACGCTCCATTCTATGACAAAAATCTACGCGTATTGCAGATATAGCCAGACAAAAGAGTGTCAGTTATGACACTGATGTTTAGTACTAAATTACCAGTTGTTTAGTAATTGTGTCTTTTTTCCCCGTTGTTATTTGAAACTTTGATTTGTGTCGATATTTTCCTCCAAGGACTTATTAACCCTTTACAGACAGAACCTTTTTGGAATTTCAAAGAAGACAGAGAATTGCAGAGGGGACACGCTGAATTTGCACACCCACAATAATAACAATAATAATAATTAATAATAAAGATTACCGTTACCTATCTATAACTACGTATTTTCTTGTCGGAAATGTAAACAGAAATGCACTAACACAATCTTTATGAATCAAACTGATTTCTCTGTTTTCTGCCTCTGTTAAATCAAACCTTTGGGGTTCGTAACACCGCATTCAAAACTAAACAGTAGAATAAACTAACAAGGAGTTTTTCACTTCATGCTGAAAGAAAGTGGTGCATAATTTAAAAAAATTAAAAAAAGTAAAAAATTAAACAAGGAAAACATTTGTACACAGAGAGAAAAAAGAAAGAACAAAATAAAGGGAGTCATAAAGAAACACAGTACACAGAGAGGCCAACAGGGTGAAAAAAAATGAAAGCAAAGAAACAAAGAAATAAAGAAAGAAAAGAAAGAAAAAAAAGAAAGAATAGAAAGTAAGAAAGAAAAGAAAGTAAGAAAAGAAAGAAAAGCATGTTTTTAATATTATATACGAAGTGCCCCGACGAAACTAATAAAACGAGCAGAGGTTTTCGCGGAACGAATACCAGCCACCGGCCATCTACGCCTCTGCGGGATAGCGTAACTAACGACACGAGGTATCAAGTAAGCATTGACATTTGTCTCTGCCAGAGGCGCTTATTATATTCATATTTTCTTACGGCTATCTGTGGATCATTTAGCTATCTAGTTACATTATGGGGGATTCTTTCTCTCTTTCTTTGTCTTCTCCGCGGTTTGACCCTGTCGTGATTTCTTTAATATTATGAAGAAGCAACACAACAGATTCCAGGCATTCGTTGTTGTTATTTTATTTGGGTCATCCATTTGTGAGAAGCGAGCAGCGATTGCTTAACTCTTTCTGTGTTAAGCAACATATAGCGTTTATTGTGAGTGACGATTGAGTTTTAAATCTTTTGACTCTTTCAGTTATTTCCTGGCAGGAAATAATTTAAATCATTATACCCGAAACACTTGTTACATAATGAAGAATGAACCTAAATTTATAGCCCACGAAAAGAAAGTTTAACAAAAATTGTTTATGTTACATGATAAACTAAAAGCAGGAAAGATAACAGAGGAAATAATATATGTTTGTGGAGAACCTTAACAACTAACTAGCACAAAATAGAATCCACAAAAATATCTTCAAATAAGAAAAATCATAAGCAGTAGTAGAATAAGAGGAAGAAGATGGCGAGAAAGATTAAGGAATAGATGATGGTGATGATGAAAATGATAAGAAGAAGAAGAAGAAGAAGAAGAAGAAGAAGAAGAAGAAGAAGAAGAAGAAGAAGAAGAAGAAGAAGAAGAAGAAGAAGAAAAAAAGAAGAAGAAGAAGAAAAACAAGAACAAGAAAAACAAGAACGAGAAGAACAAAAGGAACAAGGCAAGAAGAACAAGAACAAGGAGAGGGAAGGTCAGAGAGGGGGAAAAAGGTGGGGGTGGGGGGGGGGAGAGAAAGACAAAAGACAAGGAGCAGTACCATAACAATGTAAAATAGGATAAAACATCCAATCTAAGAGCTTAGGAAAAAACCTTCACTGTAATAAACTGGTTGTTTCCAGCCTTGATTTCTTTTACCCATCTGAAACACTATTGAGCCGAAAGTACTTCCCTGGGTCTAAGATCCAAAAGCCCGCTAGTAAGGAGCTCATCAAGATATGAACACATATTGACTGCAAGATAAATTGCCTGTGGGTGTAATACTTGGGTGTACTTGGTACTGGAGATGAAGAAATAACTGCCTGTTCCGACAAGTGATAGGCCGTGAACCTATTCTCTAACATATTAATATCCCGGGAGGCAGGACTAAGCTAACAATATCCCTCGCTGTTCTTGTTTTCTCTGTCTGTGTTTTTGTCTTTCAGAGTGGGGATTAGATGGGGCATCTGGGGCGAGCTGCTGTCGAAAATGTGATCAGTTCCTAGATTAAACGAAGTAAACTAGCAAGGCAAATACCGTCTCTCTCTCTCTCTCTCTCTCTCTCTCTCTCTCTCTCTCTCTCTCTCTCTCTCTCTCTCTCTCTCTCTCTCTCTCTCTCTCTCATTCCCTCAATGTCTCTCTGGTCCTCTTTTCTCTCTCATTAACGCTAGCTCGTGCATGTGTGCGTGTTTACGTACGTACGTAATTGTATGTATGTATGTATGTATGTATGTATGTATGTATGTATGTATGTATGTATGTCTGTCTGTCTGTCTGTCTGTCTGTCTGTCTGTCTGTCTGTCTGTCTGTCTGTCTGTCTGTCTGTCTGTCTGTCTGTCTGTCTGTCTGTCTGTCTGTCTGTCTGTCTGTCTGTCTGTCTGTATGTGTGTGTCTGTCTGTCTGTCTGTCTGTGTGTGCGTGTGTGTGTGTGTTTGTTGTTTATGTGTCTGTCTGTCTGTCTGTCTGTCTGTCTGTCTGTCTGTCTGTCTGTCTGTCTGGATGGATGGATGGATGGATGGATGGATGGATGGATGGATGGATGGATGGATGGATGGATGGATGGATGGATGGATGGATGGATGGATGGATGGATGGATGTATGTATGTATGTATGTATGTATGTATGTATGTATGTATGTATGTATGTATGTATGTATGTATGTATGTATGTATGTATGTATGTATGTATGTATGTATGAAATGGTCATTCAGTCGCACAAAAGGCTCGCCACCAACAGGTAGTACTAGAGCATCACCTATATACTAGTACTCCCTGTCAGTTCTTCGATCTTAATCTGCACCAGATATGGAATACACTCGCTGTTCGCCCAAAGAGAAACAGAAACGTATTATTCAGCAGTTTTAATAAGTTTAAGAGCAGATAAACAAACAGTAAAAGCGCAGACTCCCGCAGATGAAAATGCGTGGATTGTAGAACTGAACATAAAACAGGTCTCCCACCTGTTAACAAAGTCGTGTATTTAGGCAGCCTTGCTGTCATGTTACCCTGTCAGTGAATGCAAATTCTAAGCTTAAGTTGTGAACTGCCTGCATTCATCTCCGGATTATAATACCGCCTAATTCAGGATCACACAAGGGCGCTGAAACCTGGGGTTTTAAAGACCCTAAGCACACTTAACCCCCCCCCCCATAATTTTGAGGGGTTTGCTGAGGCCCCAGTCTACATTTAACCATCCCACCCCCCCCCCACCCCAGAAAATTTGCAACTAGGTAAAGTGACCTGTTCCCTTTACAATCGTGTATAGAATTAGTTTTTCTTCTAGGGAACTTAAGGTATATGTTCATACATTTAATAATATGTCCTATACATTACTGTATATTTATTTGCCATTCAGAATATAATAGTAAGAGTAATAATAAAAATTAAAAAGAATAAACATATTACGCACTCAAACAAGCCTTGGGCGCCTTGATATTCCGGAACATTAAAAATTATAAGGTTGCCTCGGCCCCCCTACCCCCCCCCCTCCCCCCCATCATGTTTTCTTTGTGTTGACACCCCTGGGTTCACTCAGTACTTCTTCTTTGTGTTGGGTAAGTTTTTTTTTTTTTTTTAACAGGTTAAAACACTTTACCCCGATTCGTGTTGGCTAGAGTACCATGACTGAACGCTGTATGGTTCTCCAGCACATTATACGGATTATTTACATATCTTTGTACGATTAGAATTTTAAATTAATTATGAGGATTCAGGGAAAACTCTGTTGACTCGCTCCTGTTTGATATAGTTCAGGGAATTGAAGCGCCAACACGCCGCTGTATTCAATGAATGGTTGTCATCGTGGTGAGAATGGGATCTTATACCGCGCTAACCGCTGTGAAAGACCCCGTTCTTGAATTACTCCTGCCCCTGAACTTCACAAAGACTACACAAAACATTAATACACCATATTCTGCGCTCCCGGCCACGAATGAAGAGCGAAGCACGAACACACGAAAGGAAAACGGGATGTCAAGAACCAAATAGGCTGGGACTAGTTCTCCATGTAATATTGTAAGAGCTTTCAAACATTCTCATAGAAGGCAGCCTTTCTGGTATGTTCTTGTCCTTCATACAAGTCTGCGTCACAAAGCATTACCGTATTCTCAACAAGAAACCCAACCGTTGCTGTTTTGTGCTTTCCATTTTGGTCGACTTACATAGCCTCGGGAGCACTTGAAATAAGTTCACATTATAAGGCTGACAGACAATATGAGCGGTTGTCTACTGTAATTATCTTCTCATTCCATTTTCTGAAATCTGAGAATCTGCTCCGTCTCTTTTGTCTGTGGGACTTGGGTATATTATGATTGCTAAAAGAGAAGTATACGCTCTTGCTTCATCATTGAGATCGCTTACGTGGGACATTTCTCACGAACAGTGGCCTTTAAACTCACAAAACAGTAGACTCTTAGCTCACAGTCGGTGGTTTCCTCACGGACAAAGAATCTTGCTAATGAGCAGTGACGTGCATCTTGTCTATCAGCAATCATGTGATCTTGTATCTATCTCTTGGACTGTCGTCGTAAACAGCTTGAGCGCTTTCATCCATCTTCTATGTCTTCTCCACGTCCAACTCCACCATCTAAAGCAAACATTTTGGATATTATCAATCTCTTGTCTGTACGTTTCATGTCGCGAGCATCTAAGGGAATCATTTCTCTTCCCTTTTACTTTCTGTGGAGATGAAGTGGTGTTGTAATTATTGTGCTTGATTGCCAAGAAATTCCCAAAGGGTACCGGGGCTCTCTTTTGTAGAGCAAAGAACAGACTCACTGCACCACCCACCCCCACCCCAACCCTACCCCCCAACAAGCATGTCATAGCAGGCGACTAATTATGAGTATGTCCTTTAAAGTCCAAAAGCATCTGCCTGAGAGGCAACCAACCAACATGACCATACATTTAAACTAGATCTGTAAAACAGATGTACATGTAAAACTCCCCCGCCCCCATACTTATCTAATGATCTTCTACCGCTCATCTTCATAACCATTATCATCATCATCATTATTATTATCATCACTTTCTTCTTCTTCTTCTTCTTGTGTTTTTTTCTTCGTCTTTCTTCTTCCTTTTCTTCTTCTTCTTCTTCTTCTTCTTCTTCTTCTTCTTCTTCTTCTTCTTCTTCTTCTTCTTCTTCTTCTTCTTCTTCTTCTTCTTCTTCTTCTTCTTCTTCTTCTTCTTCTTTCTTCTTCTTCTTCTTCTTCTTCTTCTTCTTCTTCTTCTTCTTCTTCTTCTTCTTCTTCTTCTTCTTCTTCTTCTTCTTCTTCTTCTTCTTCTTCTTCTTCTTCTACTAAATTAGCAAAAGTGAATGTCTCTACAACTATTAACAATGATAGAATTTCTCCCACAATTAACACAAGTGAATTTTACGGCACGCTTGTTGGGGGCAGTGGATCTGAAATCTATGACAGAGACATTGCTATTTAAAAAACTCCTTGTGAAGGTTCGATCAGTAAGTTTGTTCCCTCCCTGATACTACCTCAACTCCCCGTGTGGGTTTCCTGCCCTATTATGGGGCTGTAAACTCTGTCGGAAAGTTCTGTTTGTTCGTCCACTTTTGGACTGTGTCCTGTTCCAGAACTTGAGTGTTGCATTTGCATCCGTTTGACAGATCTGACTAATTTTATATGCAGACTGTTGGTTCCTTGCTTCTCAGGCAGATGCACTTTCACTTTAAAGGAAGCCCCCAATTAGTCGACTCTTACGACGTGCTTCTTTGTAGGAAGTGTGTCTATTCTTGTTTTGCCTATAACAGGGCCCCGGAACCCACACGGGGAGAACATTTGTGTAAAGGCTGGGAAAGCTCAGCCCGTTATAGTTTTCTAGGGTGTGGGGTACTCTTAACTGGGCTTAAACCTTGTTTAACAGCGTAGTGATAAAAAGATATATAATTTTTACTAGTATTTTTTTTTTATTATTATGTGTGGAATGTCAGAACAATACGTACTTAAAATAAATTAAACAATATTTAAAAGGATAGCGTCTTTTTTTCCCCTTCATGTTCACCTGCTGTAAACTACAGCGGAACGGTCTTGTTGTTTGTCCACCTCTTGACTTCAGTCTATCTCCAGCCCCCGAGTTTTGCATGCATTTTCGTTTTACAAATCTGATTTTTTTTTTTTTAATGCAGAATGTCGTTTTCTTGCCTCTTAGGCAGATCCACTCTGACTTCAAAGGACCACACCACCCACCCCCCCCCCCTTTTCCCCCCACCCACCCGCCCTAATTTTTTAAATTCTTTTGACGTGCTTGTTGGGGATGCAGTGGGTCTATTTTCTTCTTATTCTTCGGGCTCACCAGCTGTAAACTCTGGTGGAAAGTTCTGTTTGTTCATCCTCTTCTGGACTGCAGTCCTGTTCCAGGACCTGAGTGTTGCGTGTGCATCCTTTTGACAGATGTGACACATTTACGTGCAGACTGTTTGTTCCTTGCCTCTCTGGCAGCACTCCGACTTCACAGGAAGCTCTCAATTAATCGACTCTTACGACATGCTTCTGGGTAGGCAGTGGGTCTATTCTTGTTTTCCCCGGACCCCACACGGGGAAAGAACACGTGAATAGATGGTCGGAATGTTTGGGTGTGAAAAAAAAAAGGGGGGGGGGGGGTCTTAACACCTCACATTGTCCAAGTGGCAGAAAATGTAAGGGGGAAGGGTGATATGTTTATATTACGGCCCCTGGCAAGAGCCAGGGTGGGGCTTCAAATTAACGAAAAATTGCATCCCACAAGGGGGATGACTTCTTTTATACAGTTCAGCTGAGTTTTTAACTGATACTCAGTTAACGCACAAAATTACTAAAGTATATTACGACCACTAAATATTGAAAAAGGTCGTGCGTTCAAATCGGCACCGAGTCGGATTTTTTCCCCATGTTTGCTTTGGCTACCAGGACGACCTAGCCTTAAATGGATACCAGGTTAAGTTCTGGGAAGTAAAGGCGGCCGGCGTGATGTTGGCCACATCACCAACATAGGTCTACACATGGTCTATACAATTATGAGTCTTGTCTCATGTGCCCGATGGCGTGCAAATGGACCTTCACTTTACGTGTTGATTGTTCTCATTCAAACCAGAGATTTCTCCCGCAGAACTCAGTATAACTGGGTAGTGTACAAAATAAGTGGAAAAAAAAAAAGTAAAGTTCCCTTTTCACGCCTTTCGGCGCATCGGGCATATGGGCAGAGAGTCCCATATTTTTACAGACCATCAGCACTCTGTGGTAATGTGGTCAGCATTACGCCGGCTGTCTTTACTTTCCCAGGACAGCCCATCCTGGTACCCATTTTAGGCTGGGTCGACCTGCGACGTCCCATACCACGACAAAAATCCACGCAGCCTGCAGTGGGTTTCGATCGCGGTATGCTAGCTTACGAGTCGGACTTGCAACGCCTTAGCCACGGACGCCACAGTGTACAAAATAACTAGAACTAATCCCACCCCAAGGCATCTCCGCCATTTCTCCACGACTTGGCTGCTCGCTTCTTTGTCCCAGTTCTCATTAAATTTCTTGAAAACACGAAGAGCCTAAAGGTGAAACATTGTTAGTTTTTCCGCTGACTACATCTGCCACTGTACGTTTAAGAATAATTTTTATCGTCGCTGCTGCCCCAGGAAAACATTCAGTTTTGCACCTGGACTTGTTCTCCGCCCCCCCCCCCCCCCCCCCGCCCCGACCCAGTTTAAATTTATAATAAAAACTAAAATTCTTAGGTCAAATAATTCGCCTGTAGTTGAATAATTTTCCTGTTTGGAATGCTTGTTGTGGGGATTTGTAGGTGACGGTGCATGTAATGATTGTGGGGAAGATTGGTGAATGGTTTGGGTGCATGTAAGGACTGTGGTGGAGATTGGGAGATGAATTGGGTGTATGCAATGACTGCGATTGGTTGTGTGTATGTAATGTTAGCAGTGAAGATTGCTGGACTATTTATGAATGTAATGATTGTGGTGAAGACTGTGCGATTGGTTGTGTTAATGTAATGTTAGTTGTGAAGATTGCTGGACTGATTGTATGAGTGTTATGATTGTGGTGAATACTGGTGGACTGATTGTGCAAATGTAATGTCAGCGGTGAAGACTGGTGGGTTGGTTGTGTGAATGTAAAGTCAGTGGCAGAGATTGGTGGATTGATTGTGTGTGAATTTAATGTCAGCGATGAAGATTGGTGGTTTGGTTGTGTGAATTTAATGACTTTAGTGAAGATTGGTGGATTTGCTATGTGGGTAAATGTCAGCGGTGAAGAATGGTTGTTTGAATGTAATAATGAAGATTGGTGAACAGGCTGTGCCCATGTAATGTCAGCGTTGTATCAAAGTAATGTCAGCGTTAAAGATTGGTGGATTTATTTTGTAAATGTAATGACCGGTGAAAATAGGTGAATTAGTGAAAGTTGGTGGATTACTTGTATGAATGTAAAGACTGTGGTAAAGATTGGTAGACTGGTTGTGTGAATGCAATGTTTGTGGTGTGAAGACTGGTGGAGTATTGTATGAATGCAATGTCATCGGTGAAGAATGGTGGTCTGGTTATGTAAATGTAATGTCAGCGGCGTAGATTGGTGGATTGGTTGTGTGAATGTAATGTTAGCGGCGTAGATTGGTGGATTGATTTTGTGAATGTAATGACTGTGATGAAGATTAGTGGATAGGTTATGTGAATGCAATGTCAGCGGTAAAAAATGATGGTGACTGTGTGAATATAGTCACTGCGGTGAAGATTAGTGGAGTGGTTATGTGAATGTAATGTCAGCGGTGAAGATTGGTAGATGGCTTGTGTGAATGTAATGATTGTTGTCAAGATAAGTGGATGGCTTATGTGTATGTAGTGTTTGATTTTGATGGATGCGTCACGTATATATTATGACTGTGATGCAGATTGGTGAATGAGTACTGTGTAAGTTATTATGGTGGTGGAGATTGGTGAATGAGTACTGTGTAAGTTATTATGGTGGTGGAGATTGGTGAATGAGTACTGTGTAAGTTATTATGGTGGTGGAGATTGGTGAATGAGTACTGTGTAAGTTATTATGGTGGTGGAGATTGGTGAATGAGTACTGTGTAAGTTATTATGGTGGTGGAAATTGGTGAGTATTGCGGACGAGCGGCTAGTGCTGTCGGCATGAACTCTAGATGTAATTTGTATTTTCAACCCTGTCATAAAAATCCCACCATCCTATCGAAGAGTCGACCAGGACTCTTCCGTATGAAAGTACAGCCTTCTAACCGTTTTGCCAGACATGTATGATAACCGTTTCTCCCCCGCTCCCCCCCCCATCCCCCCCACCCCCGCTCACACAATGCGATCTCTGTAATCCCCTGTAAATAACCTTCTTGTTATATTTGTCCGCTGCCCATTAGGACTTCATTTATGCGCTAATTGGATTATTTCTTTCACTAGCAGTGGATTCCGTCTCACTGTGGCATCAAAGGCAATGAAAGCGCAGATGCTTTAGCCAAGGAAGGCAGTAACAAACAACAGACCTACCAGCCACTATCTTTTCTAGAAGTCAAAACTCTCATTAAGAGAAAATCAGAAACAGATTGGAAAACCAACACTGGTTATAACTACGGAAAGGATTTTCTGAAACACTTGAACAGAACAGACTAAGTCACAGTTTTTCGCTTACGTACTGGACACTGCAGACTCAATAAACACTCACATAAATTAGGTATGAGCCAAACAGCTCTCTGCCAGTGCCTTCGTGCTGAACAGACTCCAGAACATGTCCTGCAAGACTGTCCTCTCCTGACGGAGCTGCGGAGCGACATATGGCAACACCCAGTAGAACTGACAACTAAGCTTTGGGGAAACCTAAGAGACCTTGAAAAGACATCCCAGTTTATGACCCACAGTGGATTATGCGCATGGCCAGAGATCGCTGAAGAAGAAGGATTATTTCTGTCCTTTGGCGTGTAAACAAAAAATTCAGAATCTCCATAAAAATCGGGAGATGTGAACCAGAGTCATTGCACACGGTCATAAACCATAAGTGCTCTGCTAGCAGTACGGACAGCTAATAAGAAACTGTCTGCCTGTGTCGCTGTCCGCACATAGCTCCGTAGCTACAGCGACGTTCCTCCATTCACCCCAGAATGAAAGCTCTGGTATCCATTTCCTAAAGTGGGCCTGTCCTAGAAGCTGGTGAACCCCGGGAACCACCCAGTTTCGAACACCGACCGTGGCTGCAGCGAGTCGTAGCTGGCTTTGATAGCGAGCCTCCTATCGACTGCGTTAACGCGGTTCAGAATCTTCATTAAGTTTTGCTAATGAAGCTTTTAATGACAAAGCCAACAATTCTGGATTTTGAATGACTTTAATTCCTGGACGAGCATTTATAGTTTCGTGGATATGCGGTATTACATTTTCAGTTTCTCCTACTTCTTCTTGTTCTCTAGTTCTGTCGTTTAGCATCAGGTTTTGAAGGGGCCTCAGGTGCGAGCCTTGTTGTGTGCTACGTAGATGCTGGTATTTACAGCGTCAGATATTTCGTCATCTGGAGCCGCGTTAGCGCAGTCGATAAGAGGCTCGCTTTCAAATCCAGTTGCGTCTCGCTGCAACCATGGTTGGTGTTCAAAACCGGGCGGTTCCCGGGGTTCACCCAGCCTCTAGGAAATGGGTACCAGAGTTGACACTCTGGGGTAAATGGAGGAAAGTCACTGTAGCTACAGAGTTACGTGCGAACGACGACACAGGCGGACAATTCTTATCAGCTTTTCTTACTGGTGGCAGAGCACTTATGGTTTATAACCGTGTGCAATGACGCTGGTTCATATCTCTCGACTTTACCTTTACCTTTACTGCCTCGAGTGCTGGACCCCGGTGAAGGCAAGAGATTTTTTCACATGGACAGTGTTTAACGGTTGAATGGGGTTTCTGGGTTTGATTCTTATCAATAGGGTGCTAATTCTAAAGAATGCAGTCCTGGGAAGGGGAAAAACACAGTGCGGAAGGGGGATGGGATTACACATTTTGGAACATGTCGTAAGAGTCGACTTACTGGTGGTTTCCTTCGAAGCCGAAGTGCATCTGCTTAAGAGGCAAGGAACCAACAGTCAACACACAATTTAGATAGATTTGTAAAACGGATTATGCGCGCAACACTCAGGTTCTGGAAAAAAGTATAAAATCCAGAAGTGGATGAACAACCAGAACTTTCCGTCAGAGTTTACAGCCGGTGAACACCAGGAAAAAGAAGAATACATTTAAATAAATGGAAGATCCGATGTTAGGTAAAAGTAGCATATGTAATGTTGTGTGTATCTGCAGTTCAGCGTGAACTAAATTCATCTGTCTAAAAGGCAAGGAATCAAAAGTCTGCATTCAAAGAAAACAGAGCTGTAAAACGGATGTGTGCGTAAAACGCAAGTCCTAAAACAAGACCAATGTCGAAATGTGGACCAAAAAAAAAAAAAAAATTTTCGCTAGAGTGTACAACGGTGAACGATAAGAAGAAGAAGAAGTGGTAAATAACAATTTGCAGCTGGCACATACACATTAGAACATTTTCTGCGGGAGACAGCGCACTTATGTGTACCCCCGGTATGCTATGCTGTCCGTTCTTAAATCAGTTAAGTTAAGAAGAAGAAGCAGCAGAAGCAGCAGAAAAAAGGCAGAAGTAGCAGCAGCAGAAGAAGAAGAAGAAGAAGAAAAAGAAGAAGAAGAAGAAGAAGAAGAAGAAGAAGAAGAAGAAGAAGAAGAAGAAGAAGAAGAAGAAGAAGAAGAAGAAGAAGAAGAAGAAGAAGAAGAAGAAGAAGAAGGAGGAGGAGGAAAAGAAAAAGAAAAAGAAGAAACAGGAAAAAGCAGAAGCAGAAGAAGAAGAAGAAGAAGAAGAAGAAGAAGAAGAAGAAGGAGAAGAAGAAGAAGAAGAAGAAGAAGAAGAAGAAGAAGAAGAAGAAGAAGACGAAGAAGAAGAAGAAGAAGAAGAAGAAGAAGAAGAAGAAGAAGAAGAAGAAGAAGAAGAAGAAGAAGAAGAAGAAGAAGAAGAAGAAGAAGAAGAAGAAGAAGAAGAAGAAGAAGAAGAAGAAGAAGAAGAAGAAGAAGAAGAAGAAGAAGAAGAAGAAGGAGGAGGAGGAGGAGAAGAAGGAGAAGGAGAAGAAGAAGAAGAAGAAGAAGAAGAAGAAGAAGAAGAAGAAGAAGAAGAAGAAGAAGAAGAAGAAGAAGAAACAAACCAGTGATGAGTAAGCCCAATTTGAGAAGCATCGCTCCTCCTCCCCCATCCCCACCCCTTCCCCCAAAGAAGTGTACAAATATTTTGTCCGGGACGAGTGTGTATTTGACCTGTGTCACGTCCTAACAAAAAGAAGGCAGACCCTTGTCATGAAAATCAGGGTGTCAATTAAAATGCCGTGGACAACAGTAAACTTTTGAAGTCACGTTCAGAAATCTTTGACAGGGCACCCACCGAGCAAAATGAGTTGCTGTTCAAATTTCGTGCTTAATGCATTTTCCATTTCCAGGGTCATCTCAAGTTGCCAGGTATTTGATGGTTTCTG